ACAGGGTCACCCCTCCTTGTGCAGCCCCCAGCACCCTGCACAGGGTCACCCCCTCATCATAGAGCCCCCAGCACCCTTCACTAGGTCACCTCCCCTTGTACAGAACCCAGCACCCTGCACGGGGGTCACCCCCTCTTCATCCAACCTCCAGCACCCTGTTTGGGGTCTCCCCCTTCTTGTACAGCACCCTGCAGAGGGGGTCACCCCCTCCTCATCCAGCCCCTAGCACGGGGTCACCCCTCCTCACACAGGTGCCAGGGACCCTACCTTGCATGATGTCCTTCATGACTGACTGCAGCACCACCTCCTCGTAGGTGTTCTCCACCAGGATGAAGCTGGCAAAGTCCTCAAAGATCAGCTCCTGAAACTTGGCCAGTTCCTGCCGGGAGAACGGGTGGCTCAGCCCGGGTGGGAGGGACACTCCAGCCCCTCTGCAGGGAGAGGTGGTCCCTCCCCACGCCCCAGACTTTGCCCTCTTACCCCCTTGCAGGTGGGTGCCAGCTTCTTCAGCAGGAAGGGGATGGTGATCTGCAGCAGGGCCTCCCTGAAGAACTTCTTCCTCACCGTGCTGCTGTCGTAGTCAAATTTCTGCAGGGTGAGTGAGAGGGTGCCCCAGGGCACAGAGGGCTGAGGACTGGCAGCCCCCTGACCTCGAGGACAAACCCCCAAGTTTTGCCCCCCCCATTTGTAGAGGAGTGAACAGACTCCTCTGCCCTCACATCCCTCTTTCCAGCTGCTTCCCGGGGTGCCTGAGCCTGGGGAGAAGCCAACTCCTCCATGGCTGCCTGAAGGAAGGTTTGGGGGCCAGTATGAACCCTGGGTGGCTTTTACAGTGACAGGGACCTGGCTCCTCCAGGTGATTTCCCCCTCTCCATGAAAACCTCAATATAGAGAAGTATTTCCCCAGAAGACTTTTGTTGAAGTGGGTACCATCACTCCTGGCATCTTCCCTGGCCCTGGGACAAGGCCACTGCAGGCCACCAAAGGCCTCACCTTGAGCACCCTCTCGAGGATGCGCTGGATGGACTTGCACAGGTCGTCCTTGCCCTGCAGCTTCCCCAGCTCCTGGTGCAGCAGCGTCTCGAAGGTGTGCACGGCATCATCCATTTGCTGGGAGCAGAGGAATGGGGTCAACGTGGGGGGGGGAACCAAAGGGACCAGCTAAAGGGATGGGCAGGGGGCTCTGGGGGCAGTGACCCCCCAAAATGAGCCTTATCACAGAATCCCAGACTGGTTTGGGTTGGAAGGACCTTAAAGATCATCTTGTACCACCCTCTACTATGCCAGGTTGCTCCAAACCCTGTCCAACCTAGCCTTGGATGCTTCCAGGGATGAGGCAGCCACAGCTTCTCTGGGCAACCTGTGCCAGGGCCTCCCCATCCTCACAGGGAACAATTTATTTTTAATATCCAACAGGCAAATATCCTTCGCTCTGGGAGGGTCCCTGACAGCTCAGCATGGCATCCACAGCCTCCATCACAAGGACCAAGGGTGTTGGAGGAAGAGGGTGCTCAAAACTTATCCTCCTACACCCCACTCCAGGTTTGGCTGGATCAGACCCCAGAACTGGGCTCTTGGCCTTGTTGGTGCCAGTGGGCTCAGTGGCAGAGGGGCAGCTGTGGTGTGATGCCCAAGCCTGGGAGCTGCCCACCCTCAGGATTGATCCACCCTTAGCTGTGTGCCTGAGACAGGACAGACATCCCAGCCAAACCCTGCCTGGGCTCCCCGGCCCTCTGTGCCCAGCCCAGGGGGGCACAGGAGGAGCCCAGTCCCCATCCCACCTGTCTCATGTGGATCTGGGCCCTCTGCTTGAAGACAGACGTGCTGGAGACATCGAATCGCTGCTGGAGACCCTCCAGCTTCAGCTGGTCCATCTTCTCATAGCACGACTGCATCTTCACGGGGTGGAAGGCCAGGTGGGACAGCTTCTCCATGTACTGGGGACAAAGCCAGGCTCAGCAGGGTGGGACAGCCTCTCCACGTACTCATGGGAAAAAATTCCCCCGTATTTTCCCAGCCTGGGGTCCCCCAGCGCTGCCCACACTGGGGAGGGCAGCAGGAGTGGCCCTGTCACCCCTAAGCCCCCCAGCCAGCAAGGAGCACTGCCGGGTCTCACCTCCACCAGCTTCTCCAGGCCACCCTCGTTGACGACGTTCATGTTCATGTCCGTCACCTCCTTGAAGAACACCTCCCTCACCTCGGCAAAGCCCTGGCTCGTGGGGGTCATCAGGGCCTCCAGGATGGAGGAGATGTAGGGCTGGACGTGGTTTCTCACACAGACCTCTGCTTTGGGCAGCACAAAGGCTGGAGGGAGCAGGGAGAAGCATGGTGAGGCTCCTCTCTGCCCTGCCAGCTCCTCACATCAGGTCCTAAACCCACCCCATGGAGAAGGACCCAGAAGGCTCCCACTGGCAGGACAACCCTTCTTGGAGAGGACCCCTCGTCTGTACTGAACCCATTCCTACTGTGCTTGAAGGGCTGACTTCCCACCTTGTCCCCACCTCCTGGGACAATGCCAGTGAAGGGCATGCACCCCAAAACTGTGCCTGGTGGCACCTCCCCAAGGGTTCCAAGAGCTGCACCCCAGGAACAGCCACACCCTGGTGGAACAGGGGGAATGCCACCCCAGGAGCTGGCCGTGGACACATCCCTGTGGGGCTGCACCTCGGATCTTGCTGGCCAGGTGCTCCTTGGAGGTGATGATCTGGTCCATGTCGGTGCGGATGGTGCTCTCCAGCCGGGGCCGCTCCTGCTCACAGCGCGCCCTGGCAGCGTCGTACTGGGCCTGGGTCTGCTCATAGACCATCCTGTACACGGCATCTGAGATCTGGGGGGACAGGGACAGCTGGGCTGGTCACCTGCCTGCCCCCTCCACCTCCAGCTGACCGCCCAGCCATCCCCTGCAGGACCAGTCCCTCTCCCCCTGCCCTGACAGGACCCTCCCTCACAGCAGGTTGCCACCCGGGGACCCCCCCAAGCTGGGTGAGATGAATCTCCTGTGGTGCAGAAGCTGCTTCAAAGTGGTGCTGGAAGGACACAGAGTTGAGCCTCGAGCAGAAAACCTGCCCCAGGTAGGTCTGGGGAGGCTCCATGTCCAGGGATGCTGCAGATTTGGGGATGCTGAAGGGCTGGGGGGCTGCAGGGATGGGGATGATGATGGTCCAGGGATGCTGCAGGGCTGGAGATACTGCAGAGCTGGGGATGCTGCTGGTCCAGGGATACTGGTGGTCCAGGCAGGAGAACCCCTGACCCCATTGGAAAGCTGTGCACTGCCTGCTCATCCTGCCTGGGCTCTCAGGACCCAACCCCACGTGCAGGATGGAGCCACTCGCTGAAGTCTCACACTCACTTTGCAGCCAAACGCCGGGATTTTGGGGCTGGCAGGAAGCAGAGCCATCCCCTTCTCCCTCTCTTGGGCTTCCCAGCTTTGCAGCTAAGACCACAGCTACTGAGAAAGCAGTGTTTATGTGTTTTCAGGCTGCTCCAGTGGCCCATTACCAGCCTGGTGGTAATTATGTGCCGGGTTTTAAGGTTTTACCAGGCAGTTTTGAAGAGCCCTCAGTGTTTCGCAAGGGTCTGGGCTGGATTTAGCCTGCGCTGCTCTAAAAATGGCTCACTAAAAATAGCCAGGACAGGCTTTGCTCCGGGGCTGGGCTTCCTCCTGTTTGCTTCCCTGGCCCCGGGGACGAGGCAGAGCAGGCAGGGCTGGGCAGGGCTGGGCAGGGGCACAGCTTTAAAAAGCCACTGTGGAGAAAGGACGGATTCTTCGGAGGGGGCCGGGAGAGGGGGCAGGAAAGCTGGTGGGCAGCGAGCCCGGCAGGGAGGGGAGGAAGGAAGCACTGCAGCCCCCAAAGCTGGGACTGCAGGCAGGGGCAGGGACAGCAGTGGTGACACCCTTCCCCAGCAATGCCAGCCCCACACCTGGATCCAGGTCCGCTGGCGCTCCGGAGCCTTCCCCTTCAGCCGGGGGCCGATGGTGCTCCTGAGCTCGGGCAGCAGCTCCTCCATCACCAGGTTGCTCAGGACCTGCAAGGCAGGAGGTTTTGGGGGCCCTGCTCGGCCCCCACGTGCCCCCCGAGCCCGGGGTGGGACAGAGGAGCTCACCTGGGTCTCATTCCCACACAGCATGTCCCAGGTGCCGAACTGCTCCTTGGCCTGGCGGTACATGCGCACGGCGTCCGTGAAGGCTGGAGCCTCCACCCTGGAGTCCTCAGAGATCCCTGGAGAGGGCAGGGGGGGCATGAGTGGGCAGCCTGGCACCGCCAGGGAGTTTGCAGCACCCCAGCCCACCTTGGCAGGGCGTCCCTGCAGTCCCCCACGCCCTCGGAGCTGTGCGAGGAGCTCGGGGATGTCACCAGGACTGGGGGGTCCCAGGACACTGTCTCTGACTGGGGGGGGGCAGCAGTGGTTGGGGGTCTCTTATTCAGTCCAGATTAACCCCTCAAGAGCCAGACTGAGGGCAAGGAGGCACCCAGGAGCAGGGGCTTGGCAGGATGGGGGGCTCAGTGACCCCCCATGGTGCACGGGGACCTTGGGGCACAGGGACCCCCAATGATGTGAGGACCCGAGGGCTTGGTGAGCCCTGAAGGCACAGCAGGAGCAGGGGTTTGGCAGGATTGGAGGGCTCAGTGACCCCCAACAGTACATAGAGACCTGGGGGCTCAGTGAGCTCTAAAGGCACAGCAGGAGCAGGGGCTTGGCAGGACGGGGGGCTCAGTGATCCCTAATGGTACATGAAACCCTGGGGGCTCGGTGAGCTCCAAAGGCACAGCAGGAGCAGGAGCTCAGCAGGGTGGGGGGCTGAGTGACCCCTGACACTGCTTGGGGACCAGTGAGCCCCCCAGCACCACGGGACAGGGCAGCTGGGGGGACTGGAGTAAAGGGGGGTCCTGAAGGGAGCAGAACAGCTCAGGAGGAAGAGGAAAGTGGCCAAGAGGCATCAGGAATGAGTCAGGGCCCCGTCCCCAGGCAGCTGGGCTGCCCCCGAGGTGAGTCACTGCAGTACAGCTCACGGGGTCACCAGCACGAGGGGGCTCAGACGTCACCCCCACCCTCCCCCAGCACCCATCAGGAGGAGGGGCAGGGTGCTGGGAGCCCGTGGTCACATCCCAAGTGGAGGAGGAGGAGGAGATGGGGACAGTGTGCAGGCAGGACAGCCCAAGAGCTGTCCCACATGTCCCACACACGTCCCTGCCTTGTCCCAGCCTGCCCAGGCTGTGGAGGTGCCTCACAGCCAGAGGAACACCCCTGGGATGAACCCCCAGCACCCAACTGCCCTCCCCATGCCCAGACCCCTGGCAGGAGGGAAGCAGGATGGATGTGAGCCCTGTCAGGGTGACCTGTCCCCCAGCAGAGGCTCTGGGAGAGCATCCCTGCAGTGATGACAGCTGAGGGTCACAGCACATCCCTGCACCACCCAGGACACCCAGGGGTGGGCTTTCCCTTCCCAGGAGGGCCAGCCCAGGGCAGGGAGTGGATCTTTCCCACTGCACACAGACTTTTGTAAGATGATTACAATTAACTCCAAGCCTAAGCAGCTTTTCCTAAGGGGTAGCTTAGTATACAGGGGGGAAAAACACTGAGAAAGTCAAATCTGTCCCTTCTCAGGGCTCGGGGGGAGCCAGAGCCAGGCTGAGCTCCTCCATCCATGGATCCCAGCAGTTCAGCATCCCCTCCCAGCTGGGACAGCTTGGCACGAGCTTCAGTCCCCAGCCAGAGCTGCTACAGATCGTCCTCCCAATCCTGCAGAGAGTGGGGCAGGATTCATCCCTCAAAAAGCCTCCTGGATCTGCCCCCCCAGAGTCACTCACCCCAGGCCAAGCCTGGGGACATCCCTGTGCCCTGTCCAGGGACAAGCAGGGCTGAGAGAAGCCCCTGTGCCACTTCATGGGGTAAATTTAATGAGTTTGCTTCATTAATATGTGGTTTAAGGCATGGAGTGACAGGACAAGGGGGAATGGCTTCCCACTGCCAGAGGACAGGTTAGGTGGGATATTGGGAACGAATTGTTCCCTGAGAGGGTGGTGAGGCCCTGGCACAGGTTGCCCAGAGAAGCTGGGGCTGCCCCATGCCTGGAAGTGTCCAAGGCCAGGTTGGAGCAACCTGGGCTAGTGGAAGGTGTCCCTGCCCGTGGCAGGGGGTGGAAACAAGATGATCTTTAAGGTCCCTTCCCACTCAAACCATCCTTAACAAGGGGCAAGACCCTCAGGGTAGGCACTGCCCCAGCCCCATGTGACACCAAACAGGGCAAGGGACACTTTTGGAGCAGCCAAGTGCTCCAGGGACACGAGGCTGGGCACTGTGTGTGTGAGGAACAGTGTTGCACATCCCCAGTCCTTCCAGCAGAGTTGGTGTTACAGAAATACAGCCTGAGAAGGGGAGGTGAAAGTTCCCACAAGGCTCACAACCAGAGGCAGAAACAGAGCCTCTAATTTAGGGATAAAAAAAAATGAAAAGTGCTCAACAACAACAACAAAAGAGCTTTCATGGAATATGAAACAGTATCCCAGAGCTCAGGAGCAGTGAGGGGCAGGAAGAACAATCTCACAGAGAAATCTGGGCTGTAGGAATGCAGAAGTTCCCCAGCACTGAGCCCTCCCTGCCCACTGCCCACCCCGGGAAGGCTTTTCCATCACATGCTGAGGAGAAGGAGAGGGAGGAGAGGATTTATTGGCACAGCCCTGGCAAGGAGAAGGGGTGGTGGAGGAGCTCACACCTCCCCTGTCTCTCACAGCAGCACCTGGGGTGCTGGGAGGGAGTTAAAGATCATAAATTGGGGTTTTGTTAGCAGGAGATTAATTCCTCTTTTACCCAGAGCTGGTTTGGCTCACAGTGCCCTGGTGCTGTGGGTCCTGGGGTGCTGAGTTGCATCCAGAAATGATGCTCAGGCACAATCCCAAGAGGGATGGAGGGGTCACTGCACCCACCCCCCCAAAGGAGCCAGGCCCTGGGTGGGCTCAGGGGGCACACTCAGCCCAACGAGACTGGACACCCCCAGCACAAGAAAAAAAAGCAAAATAACAGATTTCAGGAGATTTAATCTTTCATGGGAGGATGGAAACTCCCACTGAAACCCAGGCACCGGATCCTACCCCTTTACTCTGCTCCCTAAACAGCAGCTCTGGCAAAATCAAGGCAAAATTCAGGCTATACAGAGCTCCCAGGACTGCAAGAAGCACTTACAAAATAGGCAGCATTGCTCTTTGCTCTCTAAAAGACCCGATTTTGAGCAGGTTTCAGCTCTGGCACTGCCCTCCCCAGGAAACTTCTCCCCATCCCAGGCAGGGCCAGGACCTGGGGCTCAGCCCAGGAGCTCCCAGGCCACAGCCAAGCAGGAAAATCGTGTTTTCCTGCCAGAGTATTGCTGAAGTGGGAGGCAGGTCCTGCCTCCTCCCCGGCCACGCAGCCCCCGCCCCTCTGCCCACAGCCCTGGCTGCCCTCGGTGGGGTTTGGGATTTGGGGTTGGATGACTGTCTTACCAAGTATTTTCTACCTCAGGGTGGAAAACAGGCATGAGGGCAGCTCTTGAGTCAGCCTCTGTGCTGGCTCTGCAAATGCTTCCTGCCCTGGGCAGGTATCCCCACGGGCAGGGGGACGGAGTTGGGCACAGGGATGTTCCAGCAGCTGGATGTTCCTGCTCTGCCCACGCTCCAAGGGGCAGATAAAGGGCTCAGCCACAGAATCATGGAATGGTTTGGGTTGGAAAGAACATTAAAGATCATCTTGTTCCAACCCTTCTGCCATGGGCAGGGACACCTTCCACTAGCCCAGGTTGCTCCAAGCCCTGTCCAACCTGGCCTTGGACACTTCCAGGGATCCAGGGGCAGCCACAGCTTCTCTGGGCAACCTGTGTCAGGGCCTCCCCACCCTCACAGGGCAGAATTCCTTCCCAATATCCCTTCCAATCCTGCCCTCTGGCAGTGGGAAGCCAATCCCCTTATCCTGTCCCCCCAGCCCTTTCCATCTCTCCTGGAGCCCCTTCAGTCACTGTGAGATGCTCTAAGACCTCCCCGGAGCATTTCCTTGTCCAGCAGCTCCCACTCAACTCCTCCTCTTGACCTCCAAATCATCATCTTTGGCCCCAAAACCCAACCCCAACCAGCCAACCACCCTGCCCAGAGCAGGGGGACCATGCTGTCCCCAGCCTGTGTCCCCCCCAGCCCCGCTCACCGTTGTTGCAGTGCCGGACGCAGTCCTGGAACACCGCTCGCCACTTGTCCTGCTCCTTGCCCGTCATCACACAGAAATAGTAGTGCCTGGCATAGGGGTGCCAGAGGATGAGGGGGAAATCCGTGGGGCACTTCAGGATGGGGGAGTGCCCCGATTTGGGTGTCACACCTGCAGAGAGGGGAGGACGCTCTGAGGAGGAGGCAGGGCGGGATAGGGGTGTGGGGGGGTCCATCTCCTTCCCACAGCGTCGTTGCTGGGAGTTGTGACAGAAAGAAAAAAGTGGAAAAAGAGCCTTGCTCTTCCAAAAAGGAAATTAGGAGTGAAAAGTGAGAAATGGAATTAAAAGTCATTAAGATCTCCGTGGTTTTCATGGAGCCACGGACGTGTTTTCCTTCTTTCCCTGGTGGCTGTGGCAGGAGCTGAGGGTCAGTGTTCACATCCCACCGGGAGGAATGGGGCTGTTCTCCTTCCCTGCACCCCCACATCCCAAAATTACTCCTTCCCAAAGGTCCCCAAGGATGCTCCACCCTAAAACCGCCCTTTACAGAAGGTCCTTATGGATGCTACACCCCAAAACCACCTTTTCCAGAAGACCCTCAGGGATTCTACACCCCAAAATGACCCCTTCCTGAAGGTCTTCAAGGATGCTGCACCCCAAAACCACCCCTTCCTGAAGGTCCCCAGGGATACTACAACCCCAAAACTACAACTTCCTGAGGGTCTTCAGGGATGCTACACCCCAAACCCACCCCTTCCAAAAGGTCCTCAGGGATTCTACACCTTAAAACAACCCCTCCCTGAAGGTCTTCAGGGATGCTACAACCCCAAAACTACACCTTCCTGAGGGTCTTCAAGGATGCTACACCCCAAACCCACCTTTTCCAGAAGACCCTCAGGGATTCTACATCCTAAAACAACCCCTTCCAGAAGGTTCCCAGGGATACTACACCCCAAAACTACACCTTCCTGAAGGTCTTCCAGGGATGCTACACCCCAAAACCACCCCTTCCAAAAGGTCCTCAGGGATTCTACACCCTAAAACAACCCCTTCCTGAAGGTCTCCAGGGATGCTACACCCCAAAATCACCCAATCACCCTTTTCTGAAAGTCCTCAAGGATGCTACATCCCAAACCCACCTTTTCCAGAAGACCCTCAGGGATTCTACACCCTAAAATGACCCCTTCCTGAAGGTCCTCAGGGGTTCTACATCCCAAAACTGCACCTTCCTGAAGGTCTTCCAGGATCCTACACACCAAACCCACCCTTTCCCGAAGGTCCTAAGGGATTCTACACCCTAAAACAACCCCTTCTAGAAGGTTTACAGGGAGCTACACCCCCAAAAAACTACCTCACCCCTTCCCAAACATCCTCAGGGATGCTACATCCCAAAACCACCCCTTCCTGAAGGTCTTCCTACACACCACAACCACCCTTTCCAGAAAGTCCTCAGGGATGCCCACATCCCAACACCACCCTTTCCAGAAGGCACCATGCACCCCGAACCCCCCCCTTCCCACAGGCGCCCGGGGGGTGCCCGGCAGCGTCAGGGGGTGCAGGGGGCTCACCAGGCAGGCTGTTGTTCACCAGCTCCAGGTACTGCTCCACGGAGGTGAGCACCTTGTAGCCGGCGCTGTTGACCAGCACACGGGGCGGCAGCTCCCGCTCGTAGGCCTGGGCGGGAGGAGGAGGTGGTCACGGAGGAGGGGGAGCATCCATGGCCACCCCACCACGTCTGGGGGTCCCCCTGGGAGCTGTCCCCACCGGAGATGGGCAGAAGGGGGGGTTCTCCTCACCAGTTTGTTCTCGTAGAGGACCAGGCCGTAGTTGTGCGGGACGACGCAGAACCGGTTCCGCCACTTCTTGTTCTCCTCGATGTACTGGAAGATGTTGCCCGAGTAGATGACATGGTCCTCCAGAGGGACCTGGGGGAGCAGACAGAGAGGTGGGAGGCACAGGGGGGTCGGTGAGGGGCAGCTCTGGCTCGGGGAGCTCAGCCAGGTCTGTTTGTGGTGAGTGGTTGGGTGGGTGTTGCTGCACTAGGGCTGTGCTGAGGGTCTCCAGGTTCACCACTGGATCATGTCCTGCAGCACCGAAAATTTGAGTGCCTGAATAGGTGTGCCTGGGTGACACCTTTGAGTCACCCAGAGAGGTGCTCATGTCACCACTGGAGTCACACGTGGTGGTGTTCACCACGCTCTGGTCACAGCCCTGCCCCTCCATCTCCATCCTGGGGGACACACCAAGCTCAGCTGAGCGACCTGAGCTCCCCTGGCTGAGTGGCAGGTTGGAGAAGAGCCCTCCAGCAGCAATTCCCAACCCCAGCTCCTGCAGTTTCCATGGTTTGGGGCAGTGGGGACCGTCTGTGGCACTGCTGGCAAGTGGGCATCAGCAGGAAGGTCCTGCCAGGGGCATCTGCAGATGGCAGGAACCCAGCCCTGCTCTGCTGGGTCTCCAGATGGGACAGAAAAGAGGGAAAGCAAGAAGTCACCCCATAGGGCTCAGCATCAGTTGGTGTTTAGATGTTCTGGACTTCATGGAGGACCAGCAACAGCTCTAAATGAGGAGAGATTTAGATGGGATATTGGGAAGGAATTCCTCCCTGGGAGGGTGGGGAGGCCCTGGCACGGGTTGCCCAGAGAAGCTGTGGCTGCCTCTGGATCCGTGGAAGTGCCCAAGGCCAGGTTGGATGGTGGAAAGTCTCATGGGAGGTGTCCCTGCCCATGGTAGGGGGTGGAACCGGATGAGCTTCGAGGTCCCTTCCAACCCAAACCATTCCATCATCCCACAGTACGATTCTACGACAGGAACAGGCCAAGGACATCCCCCCTCCCCTCTCCCCCTCCAGAGCAGCCCCTCACTGTGTCTCCAGCCCCTCTTGGCCCCCGCGCCGCAGCGTTGACACCATCCCAAACACAGCCTGCCTGGGGGAGCCAAGAATCTGTCCCAGGAATTTTTATGATCCCAGGAACATAAACAAGAGCCGAGAGCTCTCGTGAGGGCTCGAGTGTCTGGCGGCCGCCTCTGCTGCCGTGGCCACCCACCATCCACCACGGTGGCCATCAGGAGGGACCATGACACAGAACCTGGACCCTCCTGGAGGAACTTTTCCCACTCTTCTCTCTGCTTCCCATCTCCTGGTTCCCAGGAGCCTCACTCGCTGCCTCCCCCAAGCCCTGCACTCCCCCCCGACCACACACCCACCTTGGGCTGGGGGAGGTCTGACAGCAGCTTGGCTGACAGCACCTCACTGCTCCTCAGGGCTTTCCAAAGCCCTTGGAAGAGGGAGAAGAAGCCCAAACTAAGCCCTGCGGGGCTGAGGGACTGCAGGAGGCAGGAGAATCTGAGCCCCAAGGCCACCAGCAGGATGGGGACAGAAAGGAGGTGCCAGCTCTGGGAGCCCCCATCAGTGTCTCCCCAGGGTGGCACATCCAAGGAGAATGAGCCCCCCCAGACTGGCTCTGAAACCACTGCCCAGGGCACACTGAGCCAGGCAGAGCAGCTGCTGGTGGACTGAAACCCAGGCTGAGCCCTGCCATGGCACCAGGGGACCCTCAGCTCAGGGCCAGCAGCACCCTCGGTGCCCCAGCACAGCCATCCCCTCCTGACACACCCTCCTCGCCCCAGGGAGGCACAGAGGTGGCACCTCCCAACTCCAGCAGGTATTTGGGACAGGCAGGTATGTGCCAAATTGTGGGGATGGGCAAGGAGGGAGCCCCTGGGCTGCCCACATCCCTGTCATGGGGCTGGGGAATGGCAGCTTTGGGGCTGCCATGGGAGCAGAGGGTGTCAGGGCTGGTTTTCCAGAGGCTCTGGATGGGGACACATGGGTTGTTGGAGAGACCAGAGGCAGAGATATTTATTCCATATTCTCGTTGCTCTTGAGTCTTGCTGGTGTTTCAGATGACCACACCCCTGCTGTCCCCCTCTGCCCAGCAGGGCCATCAGGTGTCACTGCACTGCATCCCCACAGAGACCACGAAAAAAGGCCAATAAATAACTAACATCTAAAAATCCCAAGTGCCACATCCCAGCTGGACCTGCCTGAGGACAGGCAGGATGCCACCCTCCATCTCTAGACATCCACAACTTTCTGGGCACGTCTGGGGAGCAGAGGGTCCATCTGGAGGAGATGATCACCTAGCTCCTGGCAGAGCCACCCCACAGACTGGTCCCTACAGTGTCTGGAGCACTGGGACATCCCAGTGGCACTGCTGGGATCCTGGGAGGGGAGGGGCAGCAGACAGGACACTGAGCAAGAGGAATGTCCTATTTATACACGGGTGTTTTCCAAGCCTTGCACGGTGTCCCTGACCTCCCGACCTTGCTGCTGTTGCTCAGACATTCCTGGGCTGCTTGAAGCAACAAACCTGGGGATGGAGGTACCTCCCGGGGAGTAGGAGCTGAAGGCATCTGCTGAATTCCAAGGAACACAAGGGACATGGTGCTGAGGACACTGGGTGCCTGGCTCCTCCACAGGAACCTCCCCTCCTTTATTTTTCCTAACAAACCCAGCACCCAGGGCAGCTCCCAGAGGAGGTGGGTCAGGGACACAACTGCTGTGAGCACCCAGGGCTTGAGCGTGATCTCACCGAGGTATTTTCGAGATTTCTAACAAAAGCACCCCCTTTAAGCCCCAGACAAGAGCAGAAGCCTCTCTCCATGTGCAATCACATCTCCTCCTGCTTTCAAGGAGCACCCACAGGACAGTGGTTCCATGGAGGATCCCAAGCCCTGTCTGATGAGCACCCCCTGCCCGTTTGCATCTGCCTTTGGAGGTGGGAGGAAAGGGCAGGATATTCCCCCCCGGGTGCCAGAGCCACAAGCTCCATCTCCAAGGGAGAACTTTAGCCCAGGCAGGAGACACGTGGCTGCTGGAGATGAGACTTGGAGGCAGCTCCGCTTCCCCCACAGGGTCAGGGACATCTGCCAGGTGTTTCCTACTCCTCCCTGGGAATTTGCCTGGGCTGGAGCACCACTCGCACTCAGGAGCAGGAGACAAACAGCCTGGCCCATCTGCTCAGGGCCTCACAGGGCACCAGGGGGTCCCTGAGCTCCTGCCAGGCACACAGACACCGACGGGGCTGCATCCCAGAGCCAGCCTTGTCCTCGCTTGCTGCCCGTGCTCCTTCCGCGGGGCGGGAAAGGAAACCACCCCACGTGCTGCACAACTCCCCAGGGATGGGCTGGACCAGTGGCACGGGCTACATTCCACCTGGCAGGGTGGAGCAGGGCCGTGCCTGGGCTTTGGGGGGGCCATCAGAGCCCGTCTTACCTTGCGGTGCAGCAGCTGTGCCTGCGGGCCCCCGTTGCCCTCGATCTCATAGCGGACGCTGTTGAACAGAGCTACCCCGTACTGCTCCTTGTAGCACCTGCAGAACTCCCCCAGCACCTTCCCTGTCTTCTCTGCAAAGGGAGAGCAGAGACACGTCAGGCAAAGGGCTGGGTTTGGGGGGCTCCTTGCTGCAAACCCGCCTGGGTCACCTCAGGTGCCCTCCCCACCCACCTCCCATCACCCTCCTGCTGCCAGGGCACACTCTGGTGCAGGCAGCACAGAGGAACCTGCTGCTTTCTGCCCTCCCCATCCAGCCCAGGCACCGATTTGGGGTCAGGACGATCTCTTTTTTTGGCCTTTCACATTATTTCATGGATTCCTCTCCCCGGCAGGAAATTCCTGACATTAAGCTGATTCCGGCTTCCCGTGCCTTGTGCAGCTCCCGGCCCTGCTCCCAGCAGCTCAGCCTGCTGAGATTGGGGCAACCCTCCATTCCCCATCCCCAAACATCCCTCACACCCCCCCCGACCCTGCTGTGCCCCCAGAAGGGCCATCCCAGGCTGGGATCCAGGCCCTGCAGCTGGTGATACACTGCAAAGGCTCAGAGGGAGAAAGGACAGCCTGGCACCCCCCACACTCTCCATGGCACCCCCAGGTGAGGCAGGCACCCCAGCAGGACCCCAAACTTCAGACTGGGATGAGACCAAGGTGCTGGGAGAGCCCGAGCTGCCAGGTGCTCCCCTGCACCCCACACTGGAGGAGATCCTCTCCATCCCTTCCCCAGCAGCCTCCTACCCCTCAGTGCACAGGGTGGGGGGATGCTCCAAACCCACCCCCCAGCAGCAGGGACAGGGCCTTCCCAGCCCCAGGGGGGCAGTCACAGGAACCCCTTGTTCCTCCTGGGCCATCAGCCACAGCAGAGGAGTGGGGCTGTCCCCCCAGCCTTTACCAGCACCCCTGTCCCACGGGCACCCTGACCCACCCAGCACCCTCCCCACCCCAGCTCCAGACCCCACATGGGGCTCCCACACCAAAATCCTGGAACGAGGCATCCCAGAGCTGCGGGAAAACCTCCCCCAGAGCCGCCTTTGGCACAGGGCGCCTCGACTTCGAATTTCCCTCTCAACTTTGCCCCAGAGCCTGCGAAAAAGGAAGAATTTGAGTCTCCTCCAACTATTTCTGACAGCTCAGGCCCTGCCAGAGCACTGGCAACGGGAGGAAGGATGCTGGCTCTGCATCCCAGTGCCGGAGCCAGCACGATGCTGGGGGCATGAACCCAGACAAAACAGCCCCCCGAGCCGGCTCGGCACAGCTTGGCAGCAGCCAAAATCTCCAGCCAGCAGCCGCCCCCGAGCCGTGCTGGCAGCCAAGGCAGCACAAGGAGCAGCTTGCTGCAGGGTGCTGCAAATCCCTCTGGGATGAGCAGCTCCAGAGGAAAACGCTGCCCGAGGACAGCGGCGGGGGGGAGATAAACCCATCCCCGAGGAGACACCGGCGCTGCCGGCAATGGGAGCAACATCGTTGTGCCAGGGCTGAAAATCACTTTAAATCGCTTTCAGTTTAACACAGTTCTTCACAGTAAAGGATGAGAGGGTGGCTCATCCCGCCAGAGGAATTCCTCAGCCCGGATTTTTGGCCTTTCCCCCCGGGAAGGCGCAGCCGGGCCGCGCTGGCGTCCCTGCAGCACCTCTGCTGGAATTCCCGGCTCCCGAGCTGTGGGATTTTGGCCGGGGAGCGGGGCAGCCATGCAGGCAGCTGAGATTGAAAAGGACATTTTGAGGTTTCGTTTCCTTTCAGTTCATGGGAAAAAGCAAGCCCCCGGTCCCCGGGCAGGCGAGACGGGCTTAGTCACTCATTCCTCCCTGATTAACGGCGGGGCCAATTAGGAGGTTCGGAGTCAATGGAAAAGCAAAAGTCAGTTATTTGCAGAGGTTGAAACAAGACTTGCAGTGAAATATTTGAGGTGACTAAACCCCCCCAGGCTCAGCAAACCCCTGCAGGGTGTGGAGAGGGTGATTTGGGCCACTGACCAGTAGCCCTGGTGGCCAGCCCAGGGGAAGCAAGAGGGACAGACACCCATGTGACAAGGTGACACCAGACTTGGCAAGGTGTGGGCTGCTAGTGGTGGTACAGCCAGGCTTTGCTTGAGCAGGGAGAGGATGGGGAGCCCACACTGATGATGCCAGTGGGTGCCCTGACCCCCAAAATCCATAGCACCCTGTGTGGGGCTGACGTGTCCCATGTGGGAACCAGCTCAGTCACCCACTGGCTCCTTCCTCCCAGCAGTACTGGGATCTCTGGGGAGCATCCTCTGGCCATACAGTGAGCACTGGGGGGCTATAATAGAGAGCATTTCCCCCCAGGATCCACAGTCAAAGCCACCCTTTGCACGGCCCACCAAGAGCTGGAGAGGTCTGGGGACAGGTGACAGTCCAGAGAACCATGTCCCCTGTCCCCTCACCACCATGGCTATGGAGAGAAGGGGTTTGGCTTGGCTTGGCTTGGCTGCCTCCCACCCAGCCACCCCCCATCCTGGGTGCAGGCTCAGACACCCACAGCAAAGCCCTTTGGCAAGTGGGAGCACACCCAGGGGCCTCCCAGGGATGGGTGTCCCCAGCCACCCACTGCTGGTGCTTTCCCAATCCTGGTGTTTGCTCTGGGACTGCTGTGCTCCACCACACCCCCCCTCCCAGTGCCACCACCCCGCCCCTGCCACACCCAGCCGTGCAGAGGCACCGGTCCCCGAGCAGACAGGGTGGCTGGGCTGGCACAGGCTGGGCTGGCACAGGCTCCAGCACATCCCTCTGGCTCCTGGCAAAGGCAGGGAGAAAACAGCGGCTTTGTGGGGTGCCAACAGCACTGAGGCCTGGCTCAGCAGGATCCCCTGTGCCAGCACCTCTGGTCACAGAGCTCCTCTGTCCCCAGCCCCTCCTGCCTCCACAGCATCCCCATGACTAAGCTGCACGTGGTGGCTGCAGGCGGAGATAAAGGGGCTCCAGAGCTGGGGAGGGCAGAGAGAGGCAAACCCTGAGGCAGGCTGGGTGCAGGGCTGGGCAGGAGGCTGGCAGCAAGGATAGAGCTGAGACATGCCACACCAGCTCCCTGCTGGATCCCCAGGGACCCCCACACCCTCCTGGCATCACCCAGGGGGCACAGCAGGGCAGGCAGCCCTGTGGGACACCCCACACAGGGACAGGGCAGCAGCACAGGTTTGTCCTTGTCCCAGATGAGTCCCTGAGGCTTGTCTGGGTGAAACCAGCCTGGAGAGGAGGTTCTGCTCCTGCCACCCCCCCGACCAGTTGTGCCACCACCGCTGTCACCGAGCCCAGGGCAGTGCCATGGCCATGACACAGCCCTGGGGCAGCTGGAAGCCCAAGGGCATGTGCAGCCCTGGCTGCTGAGAGGTCACGGCCCGGCCAGAGCAGCCCTGGCCCAGTGTTGGTCCCTCTGAGCCAGGGCAGGAGGTGGATCTCACCCTCAGGATTCCAGAGGCC